TTTTTAGTCTGGACAAACTTTGATTAGTGCACTGTTTTCACGCTGTGCAGTGGTGATATAGCATGTTGTTAGCCTTCAGTTGTTTAATTCTGAAAGTCTTTCTGTACTTAGAACATATTACATGTAACATAAAACGTATTCTCACCAAATAAAGTACATAAAAACGTCATGTCTTTGGCTACACTAACTGTTCTCTCCTGAATCGATTTGCTTTTTCATTTACCTCGCATCCGTTTTCTCACAAGTGTGGGCCTCGTGGACCTCAGTGCTAAATTCTGTCAACAGCGTGAGTGGGTGACTCCGACATGCCAGATTGAAAAATGTTTTACGGTAATGAAAGTAGAGAGGAAGAATATAGTAGAAAGAAAAACTAAAGCAGGGAGAAATAAAGGGGCGAATCTATTAACAGTGGAAATTGGGCTCTGAGAAGCTGAACCTGAAATTTAAACCCAACCCGAGACCAATATATATTTGAGAAATGACAGTTGGGTTCCGTCAGGTTTGAACAAATATTTCAAGCTCTAATATGAAGGCCAGAAGCCTTACACTGTGGGCAATGGAGTGTAGTATGCACTGTCAGTTTATGACAAGGTGCAAATAGCCCTGTATTCAGGTCCACATAGTTGTAACTGTACAGTAAGGAGCACTGGAACCTTCTAATATCTATTTGCAGTTCAGCATACCGTTTTAACTGTTGATTGTTCACTCACATCAACAGATAATCATCCAAATGGATTGTGGCATGGAATACACTGTATAAAAGTATTCAGACACTCGTTGAATTAGTAAATTCAGTTACTTTAAGGTTCATCTACTGCTGACACAGGTAGAGCAAACACAGCTTCTATAATCTCCATAAAAAGCGCTGCCCATAGAATGGGACACTCTGGAGCAGCTGTCTGTGAGCCTAAGGTCACCAGGCCCAGTGCCAAGTGTCAGCTAGAGAAGTATAACACTCTCCAGCATTGGGCTCTGGAGCAGTGGAACTGTGTTCTCTGGAGTGATTGAGCTTCATCCAAAACATTTGGGATGAGTTGGAGTGACGTTTGTGATCAGAACTAATAATCCAACATCAGTACCTGACCCCACTCATGCCTATGTGGCTGAATGCAATCAAATCTTTACATCAATGTTCCAACATCTAGTGTACAGCCTTCCCAGAAGAGTAGAGGCTGTTACTGCTACATGCTATGATACCCATGATATACTCAGAAAAATATATTGTGTGTATCGTGATAATGATAACATATTGTCATACTGTTCATCCTTAATATGATATGCGCTTCACATTCAGGTGCATACTATTGCATTGTAAATGTATGAATCATTAGTTTACATACTTTTTAATGAGTTTGATTCTGATTTGAACTTCAGAATAGCAGTTTAATCTCTCTGCCTGCACACCCGACAGTTGTTTACTCTGATTCTGACTACCAGGCTACAACAAAACAACCCTGGAATTAATCATTTCATTGTGGGTTTGCTGTAACTTTGTTTTTATCGCTAAAACAAAAAAAATATGCTGTCTTCAGATACCACAGTTTAAGGGGTTTGGCAGAGAGGGAGAGGTTGTTCACTAAACTGGTGCGAATGAAGGTGGTTTAACTCTGAAGCTCAGTGCTGTTAACTGTCTGCTTGCATGGAATAAAGGGCTACTTTCAGAGGTAGCATTGATTCTGTGTATATATGTTGTATGTTCTTAAAGATGTTAAATATAGTCAGTTTAATGTAAAGTCTTTGCATGTGTCCTGATCAACCTCAGTCATCGTGGGTGTGTGTGTGTGTGTGTGTGTGTGTGTGTGTGGTGTGCGCGCACTGGGCTTGGCTGCTGTAGATCAGACATCTGCAGAGTGGAGAGGAGTGAGTAAGACACAGCCAGAGTTTATTAACGTGTCACCAACTCTCTCTCTCTTTTCCCCCTCTCTCTCTCTCTCTCTCTCTCTATTGCTCTTTCACTCTCTGCATCTTTCTTTCTCTCTTTCTCTCTAGTCCTCTTTGTGTATTTGCCTCTGTTGCTCTTTCTCTCTCTCTCTTTCTTTCTGTCTCTTTATCTCTTCCTCTTTCTCTCTTTCAGACACTCTATCTGCTACACACACACACACACACACACACACACACACAGACGTACACAGTAGTAGTAGTGAGCAGAATATAATCAGAGCACTTTTAGCACAACACCCTGCAACACTCCTATTTACATACACCTGTTAACCTACAGCCCTTCAACACCCCTTACAAACGCTCCCTCTCTCTCCTCTCTCTCTCTCTCTCTCTCTCTCTCTCTCTCTCTCTCTCTCTCACATACACTCAGTCTATTACACATGCACACGCAGACTCTTTCTCATTTACATCACACCCCCATGGTCTTCTGAGGAACAGAGCAGATTGATTCAGAGAGTGAGAGGGGAGGGAGGGGGTTATAGAAGGATACAGGGAAAGAAAATGATCTCTGTCATTGCAGATGCTGTTATTAGACTGGGCTTTTTATGAAAAAGGACAAATTGAGAGCGCTTAGCTGCTAGCTATCTCACCGACGAGAGGGACACTGCATTTTTAATGGTTTCACATTTGCGTGTTGTTTTTGTAAAACGAACTAAACGCTGATTAGCATGCTTTTCCCGCAGGGCCAGCAGATAAACGCGTGCGGTGAAAGCACTCGGACGGCAAATCTCCAATCGGAAAACTGTTGTCATTATGGAGTGTTTGGAGCGAGTGCGATAGTTGTGGAAATTTGCTTTTGTGTCTTGTTTTCATCAGGAGAACTCCCTTTTTGTACACGCAGCACACTTCGGAAGATAACAAGAGTGTTTTGACATGCCGGTGGGCTCGTTTCCGTCTGTGTGGCATACATGCGAAATCCCACTGGATGCCGCATTTGAGTTGAGAACGGAGACAAGTAATAAACATGAGCATACATTTACTCACACATCACATTTTCTATGAAATGATGTTCAGGCTAGGTTTACTGACCTATAGCATGAGAAAATATAACTGGTTGTTTCCTACTGTGTGCACTGCTGTACTCATTACCACACCTAGACTACATTCCCTTGCTTCCTGGGCACAATTGAATTCCTAAGGTAGATAGCCTGAGGTACATTCTCTCCGCTTATTACCTTTTGCCTATACATATGCTTGTATGAGTGCATTTTGGTATCTTGGTCTTGTGTGTGGGTTGGAATAAATGGGGAAAAAAGCATGCTGGAACTTCAGGGCAAGTGATTATATTCCTGTTTAAAGGAGTACTCCAACGTTTTCAAGCTGTTGGAGCAACTGCCTGTTGGATTCTATTGCAGATGTGGCTGGTAGACTGAGGAATGAGGCTGGAGTATGCAGGAGTTGTGACACTGTTTACATCATAAAAATTTCCACTGTTTGTGGAATGTATATTAATGTCCACATACTTACATTTACCTTGAAGTTTCCACAGAAATTAAGTGAACAAGAGGTGAAGGATGATGTGTATATCTTATAAATCAAGTTCCAACCCTTGCACATAATTTGAACTTTCTTTTCTGGCCTGGTAATCATCTGGATTCCTCCTAAATTCAGATTTCAGACGCTATGATTGGATCCTTCAGTCAGGCAACAGGGGCCTCATCCTGGTGATAAGCCGAAACACCATTAGTGGCAGCGAACCACAAATGACAGCATGATATCCCACTTTTTGTCTGCAGGCGCGCTGTGTACACGCCCTTTAGATTCCACAGGAAAGGGGCAATTTCCTGAGTGAGACCACAAACTACGCCTCTACGAACGAGTGACTCCTTGTGGGATAGTGTGGTCTTGCGGTGTAAGACTGAGAGGAGGAACGGATATCCAGTTCACACTCTCATTTTCAGGTGCTGTTTGAGGCTGCTGCTATGATTTGGAACAAAGTTTGCACCAAACAAAAATACACCTTCATGCTGTTCTCACCTATTTGCTGTTTTCTAGTTGTTTAAAAGTAACTGAATAGTTTATTCTTGAATTACATTTACATTTTACATTACATTTTGCATTTCATTCCTGCTCTGAATTCAATCAAATGGAATTGAACCAGAATTGAGCTGAACTAAATTGAACTTGATCAGTTAAACTAAAGTGACTGTAAGTTCAACTGGAATTAATTAAATTGAACTGACCTCATGCTCACTTTCAGTGTGTTCAATTTTTATTTTTGGGGTCTACTACAATGAATTTACATGCTTCAGTGTTCCAAAAACACATTCCTTTTCTTATACTGTACATTTCTATTGACGCTCTGAAACGCTGTGTTAGAGCCCCTCCTCCAGATGAGCCCAGTGTGCTCTGATTGGTCAGCCAACTCTGTTCTGACCAGAGCGGTTTCTTCCCTACAAGTTCCGCCCCTGTCTTGCAGTCTGCAGACAGACTCTTCTCTCCTGAACAGCTGTAAACACTGGTGTGGCTATTTTTCCAGTGGCGTTGGGTTCTGCCGTATCAGTTTGAGCCAGAGTCTGATGCTGAAAGTCAGGTCAGCGTCTTGTTGATATGGCTACAAAACTGAACAAACTTTTCCCGGCCTCCGGTAGTTGCTGTGCATTGTGTGAGGGCATGCCAGTAGGCAGGCAAAAAGCACTTTGTTACGAAATTGCATCATCTTGTGACAAAGGATAAGGGCTTGAAATTCCAAGGCAGATTGGAAATTTTCTCAGGCAGCTGAGAAAAGTGGTTTCTGTGGACTTTGAACTTTGTAACTTTGCAGACTGTTTACATGTACAAAAAGCTATTTAACACACTAAAGGAAATGGAAAACGGAAAAACCTAATAGGTCCCCTTTAATTTAATTGAAATTGAATATAATGTAATGAAATGTATTTTAATCTAATAAAATCAAACTTAACTGAATTGAATTGAACTGGATCAAATCGAACTGGAACTGATCTGAACTGAACTAAACTAAATTGAACTGACCCGAATTCATCTGAACATAAATGAATTGAATCAAACTCAATTCAACTGAACTGAACTCACTTTTCTGTCTCTTTCCTGTGTTGCAGCATCCATGGTTACAGAGACTGGAAGAAAAGGCTGTCTTAAGCTGAAAGTCTTTGTCAGACCAGCAAGTAAGTGCCATTAATGCCATTAACAGTATGATGTAGTGGGCATGCCTTTCTTCACTGAATGCATTTTTATGGCAAAAGCTCCTTGTTGATACTTCACACTTTATTGGTTGTATTATATGCAAAATCACTCCTTTTTTTAATTGTATGTATATGATGGCAGTGGTGTGCATCTCTCTGTTTGGCCATGAGCTTTTTCTGTGATTGGTGGGTTGGAAGGGGCACCTTGGGGTCACTAACATGTTTGGCTTACATCTTTCTTTTGATTTCTTCTGTTTTATAGACAGCTGTGTGAAAATCATAGGCGTTCACGATCGAGTTTTTGACGTTAACGACAAAGTAGACAATTCATTAGAACCAAGAGGTTAGTATGGCTTGATTCTCCTTTTGTTTTGACTGCTGTACTTTGTGTCTCTGCTAGCACATTCCCTCCATGTTTCTGTTTTGTTTTTGTGTTCTTTTTGCATCTGATGAGCCTCTCCTTCTTAAATAAAGCATGCACCACAATCTCAGCATCTTCTTTGTATCGCTTATGCTGCTGCATACTGTGTGCATCCATGAGCACTTGGAATATTTAGAATCTGTGTTACTAAGCAATCATGTTAACAACTTATTGAGTCATTTTCACATTGGGGCAGATAAATAAATAACTAGCATAGTTCCCAGGTCTTTGTTTAATAAGAAGTTTAAAATAAGCCTGGAAAATATAGCAAGCATTTTAGTTAAAGTTCATTTTATGAAATTGACCTGTTATTGAACCAGAAATATGTGGGCCAAAGAGATACTGTGGCTAAGATGAAAAATGTAAACATCGATACTTTTGTTGGAAACATACTCACTTGTCTCCTGCAATGATGCACAGTTTAAAGACTACGAAAAAAAAACCCTTCTGATGATGTAACTTGAAGGTGGGCGGAACTTCTAAAAGACTACAGATGCTTTGGGGTGGATACTTGAGGGCAGACAGTTTGAAATGCGTAATGCCGAAGGAAGCCAGATATCTAACATTACTGCTAATAAGCCCGACTGGTTATGCCTTGTGTGCATCATGCATGCTGGGTATTGTAATGAGAGAACACTGATGGATGCAAGCAAAAAGTTGCAAAATAGTGAATTCTGTCAAACCAATGAGGCTGAGGCCTACAAAATGGAACATGACAAATGATATGAACATATTAAAATATACTGAATGCTGAAGGTAGGTTAGAATAAACATGCATAAATATCTGCATGCTTAGATACAGGCATGTTTCTATGTAACAAAACAAGTCAGTCTGCTTTGTATTCTCTCATGTTTTTTTTTGTTTTACTTCTAACCATGCCCTTTTTTCCTTGCTTTATATTTACTTTGTTAACTAACCTGCCATCTTCTAATCATGCGCATGAATATGCTCTGTTGACATTTAAACAAGGTCTGTCTTTCCACAGTAACTTCTGTCCGTATTTGCAGTCAGTGAAACTGGATCAACAGTTAGCTCAGTGTGTGTAGTTAGCAAGAATCATGAACAAATCGTAATGTTCTGCTGTACGGTTATTAGCGCTGCACGTTGATTGATGACAGCTGTGCAACTTCCTAACTGAACAGAGTTTTCCGTGCCCAAACGGCAGACACGTCCCTCTTATTCCTGGCAGTCTGTGTATCAGCATGAGGGCATTGATTTATTAGTCCAGGTACCCATGGAGCGTCTGGAGGAGCTTGTTGCATGCCTGCCTGCCTGCCTGATTCTCTCCCCTGCGAAGCAGCCAGAGCGCTTCTCCATCCGCCCGAGCATATTTATCTGTCTCTTCATGCTTCACACCTGTCGATTCCTCCTGCTGACATCCCTCATGGTGCATGGCTCTTCTAAGATGTTCTGCTTTCCAGAACCAGTATCACAAACTTTGATGATAATAATGGCAGTCTGTTTTTCGCCAGTCCCCCTGAGCTTCAGAACACGATGCAGAACGTATAATGAGCAACTTTAATAACAGGCCCAAAGTTCTGCCTCAACTGTTGCAAGTTTGCAAGTGATCGCAATTAAATTTAACCCAATAAACCCTGGGCTTATTATTTAGTTAGTTAGTCTTAGGCTGGCTTTTTATATGATGAAACATTCACGCAACTTTTGTTACTTGAAACATATATGAAACCAAATGTCACTTGCGTTGCATAATGTAAATTCTCCTTAGGCTCTCTTTGAAACTCCGTTACAACTGTTATAACCATCCCAACTTTATGAAACAAATTTCATGAAACAGCTGATCAAAACACTGAGAATGTACCATAAGAGGAGTTCAAACTGTTATTTCAGCTGACTGATTTTAGTCGACACATCATGGACATGAAAAGAAGGACGGTCTCTTGGAATTATCTCACTTATTTGCTAGTAAACTTGTCTCAGCCTCACAGCTGATGTCTTTTGCACATTAAACTGCCCACAAGTATCAGAATTTTATCTGCACAGACTTGTGTACACATTTTATCAGACTGGAAACGCAACTGCAAGCAGTTACCCACTCTGCACACTGCAGCTGAGCCTTTCAGTGTGAAATAGTTACTAAGTTGTAAAAATGGTTATGAAATACATCTTTGAAAGTTATTCAACAGAATTTTCTGGAGCATTTTAGTAGTTTATAAATGAGATGCTTAGGAGTTATGCTCATGCATTCATTTCCCATAGAGTTGTTTTGGTTGCAACCCCATTTTGAAAAATCACGTCCCCCTTCAAGTTATGCTAAAACGGTGATCTATGGTTGGCTATTTTGCTTATCTGTTAAATGACGTTTCTCTTTGAAGTAGGTGGTTCTTGGCCACATTAAGCAACAAAATGTATTGGACTCCCTGACAATAACTTGCAAGACTACCTATGAACTGGTTAGCATAATTAGCTATTTAGATAAACTGGCAGTAATTTGACTGAGTGTTCAAAATTCATGATTACAGATTATGATGACAGATTATGATGATTATGATGACAGATGTCTTCAGTAATATAAGTGTCATGTTTCTATTACTGGTAATTGTCATGACAGATGTTTGAGCTTTTCAGCTTATGTCACATGCTAAGTGTACTGTAGTTAGCTAGGCATCAAACTTTTATCATATATGTCATGACAGTTACCAGTAATTGTAACATTGACACTGTCTTACTGGACATAATCTGTCATGACAACTCATGACAGCATATGACCTCTTCCATGACATGTTTATTTGTAAGCGAAGGCTTACAAATTAATACATCACAGAACATTTTAGCTAATCTTACTAACTAGTAGAATAATAGAATATGCTGAATGTAAAAGTTGCTTTGTGTGCAGAAATTATGCGTTACACAACTTGCATCCCATGAAAGCCAGCCTAATACTTGACATGTTCTCTCAAACTAATATGAGCAGTTATGAGACTAAGGAACCTTACATACAGGCCCTTGCGGTTTAATGGGTTTTATTGTGCCAGTAAAATGAAACAAGAACAAATAGCATTATAAAAGATGTAATCTAGTAGGTTTCACCATAGCAAGATATCATTGGCTAACACCCTCTTTTCTTCTTTCCATCTTCAGATGACACCAGTCACGAGTCAGCCGAACCATCTCGGAGCGATGCGGCTAATTCAGGGCATGGGCCCCTTCTGCCTGGCCCCCTAGTGGCTCTTCTCCTCTGCGCCTCTGCACTGCTCACCTTATAGCCCCCCATCTCCTTTCTCCCAGACGAGCCCCTACAGCCCCCGCTGCCCCTTTCCCAAGAGGCCAGAAGCCTTACACAGGCCAGGGCCACGGGAGGGCTCCCAGACTCTCCAGGAGCACTACTTTTGGTCCTCTTTTTTTGTTTTTCCAAATATTTAAGTGGTCTTTCTCAGTCTGTGATTAAGGAGAAAAAATTGATTAGTAGTGCAAAGGAGAAAAGCTTTTAGCTAATCAGCTGAGATGCTCTAATCGTGATGCAACATCCGGTCACTGGGGATCAGAGCTCAGGGGGCGGAGCGGCTCCACATTTAGAAAAAGTGTGGTTTTAAGTTAACACTATTCAAACGAACAGATGTAAATGTCTTTGTTGAGGATACGCCCCAGTACAAATCTCCTAGCTCTATTGTTAGAGGACTAGTTGCCTGTTTTCTCCTATCGGCCTTCACCTAACAGTTCGCAGAAGTTCACCAGATTGTCAAGCTCTAGATTTGGCTAAAACTATGTCTAACTGGATGGCAGAAAGTCTGGACACTGCACTCCAGAAAAGAGAAAAAAACCTGCCTGGTCATGTGGGCCAGTTGATCCTGGTGTCTGTATGTGTGTGCGTGTGTGTGCTCGCTAACTGACGTACTTTATTCGATTGAAATTGAGGAGGAAGATAAGACACATATTTATTCTCTGCGATTGAGGACTTGTCTTAGTAGACCACACCACTAAAAAAACAGTGCTTTTGTATTTTGTAGGATAAACTTAACTGCAGCATAAATACCTATATTTTTCCTATGACCTTTTATCTATTGATATGAAATATCAACGTTAACGAATCATCAAAACTCTTTGTCATCATGACTGCGTATGTCCACCTCTGTATATACAGTACCACAAGGGGCTGCACATGGCGTTCACTGTCCCCCTCTTACCCTCCCCATCCAATAATTTCCTGGACGGGGAAAAAACACTGGCTTTGCAAGCAAGATGAATATCTACAACATCCAGTATTCGAAACCGTTCATCTGCTGTTTTCATCGACTGCACATTGAAATAGCCGCTAACTAGTGTCTCATATTCTTCTATGACGTTAACAAGGATACTAAGTTAAGCTTAGGTACTTTGTGATCCCACTCTTTGCCTTCTGCATGGCAGCCTTTGCTATGAATTTGTTGCTTTGTCAGTTAGAAGGACTAGGCTGGAGTTGTGAGCGTGCCCAGTTACACCTCCTACTGTTTCCAGTTTAAGTGACTCTTTAATGAGGTTCAAAACGGCAGGCATGCGGAGCCCATGTTGTGGCGGGCGAGATATTTGCGGTATTAAAAATAGGTGGTCAGAGGCATGGGCAGTGCCGAGGGAGACTCAGATTTCACAGGGGCGACTTCTTTTTTTCGACCTTGCAGCCAGAGTGTTCTCTGTGGGGCAAGTACACAGGGAAAAGAAACGTGCTGGGGAGGGCTTGAGGGAAGTGGGTACTTGGCCCTCATAAGAATAAACAATATTGGGGAGTTTTCAAACAGTCTGAAATTGTATATTTGTTTCTGCCTTTCTAATTCTCAGTGGGCCTGTTTTTTTTTTTTCTCCGCTGTCTCTGATACTGGAGAGGAGGTGCTCTGTTTGTTTGGTTTTTTTGAATGGTAACAAAGCTATTTCAGGAGAATAGCAGCTTGGGTTAAAAGTCATTCAGAAGAGGGAAAATGCCACCATATGTGCTTAGTTTCATGGTTTACATCGAAAAACTATGGAAACCTTTGGAACTCAGTTTCAATAGTATTTGTATTGCTATCATTTATACTCTGATTATAACTCTTATCATTGTTACCATACTTTGTACACGCTTTGAACTGGGAAACAAGGCTCAATTCGTTTAAATGGATACCGTGTATCCTGAAGTAGTCGACAAATAATAACATGTAGTGTTAGATTAGTACTTGTTTTTGCACCTTTCTGGAGGTCAAAAAGGAGACGTCATTAAACAACAACAAAAAGAACAGCAATGACAACTATTATTATTATTATTATTATTATTAGTATTATTAATATTATTATTACTATTATTATTGATATCATGCAAGCTGTTGTATATAGTGTTTGATATGGAGGTATTAATTTGATTATGTCTTTTCTTAAAAAAACAAAAGCCAAAAAAAAAAAAAGAATCTCTGATGAATTGGAGAGAGCATACACACGATCTTCACCACCATCTTCAAAGGCCACTGCAACCAGAACGTGACCACCTTTGGACATCACTTCAACATGTTCTTCTTCAACTCTCCTCCCACCATCATCCATTGTTTTGAGGATCCGATCGGTGAGCAGAGGCGGATTTCCTGAGACAGCGTGTGTCATTGGCTTCAGTGTGTTTTGAGGGGTTTTTGTCTTCTGGAAGCTTCTTTTGTTTTGTTTTGTTTCTCAGCATGTTGGCAAACCAGAAGTCGCTCCGTGAACTGTTGGCTTTTCTCATGAAGGAACTTGCCAGTTTCGTTATGTGGCATGCGCATGGACTTGACAGTGAAAAACATTTTAGATAAAATGTTGTTTTTTCTTGCTTTTTCTTTTTCTTTTCTTACGTCATTGAACATCAGAGCCTTACTGCACACCACCATGAGTGTGTTTAAGTTCCATCCAGGTGGGAATGCTGCACAGATGAGCTGAGTAGACCCACCCATGCTGCCCGACAGTGGAGGATAACTGTATATAGCACTGTTCTGGAGTGACGGCCAGGATTCAGAAGGTTCTGTTTTTGATGTCTGTGTTTTCTCTCAGTGAGGAGAATCAGTCCTCCATTACGTCATTTGTTCAACCCATGGAAGTCATGTTATTACACTATGTTTTGTCAGAGATGTGACTTGCTTTTCTTTATGAGGTGCAGCCACTCTTCGTTGGCAATGAGGTGGCCTTCCCCTGCCTTACTTCTTAAGTCCTTCAAAATGCCAAGATCAGTCTCTGTACCATTCACTCACTTCACTCATTTTTCTTTCTTCAGTCGTTGTTATCAAACCCTTAGCTGCTCTGTCTCTCATATATGGGGATAACTCATTTGTACGTATACTGTACCAGCCCCTGTGTGCTCCTGTGCTTGGTATCATTTCTGTTTTTTGCAGTTACTGTTTTTGTCCTTTGCATCTCTGGGTGCTGTATTTGATCTGCTTTCCCCCACTGTACAAACAGAAACAACATTTTGGAAAAAAATAATAATAATAATAAAATGGAAAAAAAAATCAAAGGTCTGTATTTGTATATACACGTGTCTGAGCAACTATGAATAATAATGATTAAAGAAAAAAAATACAGTGCTTTGTTGGTCTGTTGCTTACTTGTTTGTTTTTTTTAATAGTACAAACAATAACATAACCTACATAGTTTATATACTTAGAAAAGAGCCACACAGTACTGTGCAAAAGTCAGAGACCTCCCTGTATTTGTTTAGTTTTCAGTCAAAAAGTTATCACTCAAAAATGAGTTTCAGTGTCAACAAAAAAGCAGTAAACATATATTTAACAGAAAATGACACAGAAGCCTTAACAACTAAATATATTGCATCTGTTGGTCATTTCTAATTAGTGTGTCCACCCTTTGTCTTTACTACAGATGCCATTTGTTTTAAGAGACTTGCTTTCAGGTTTTTAAAGAAATCTGCAGGGATATTTGTCCACACCCCCAAAGTTCAGTCTTAGAAACTGGTTTACTTCTCACAATCCAAGTAATCACAATTGCACATTTAGACTCACATCCTTAGCTACACATCCTTTCAGACTCGGTGTTAAGTTGTCACAGTGGAAGGATGGACAGAAACATCTGCAGATTTTTTTTTTTCAGATCTGAAGCAAAAGTGGAGCTTGATTTTCTCCTCTCTGATGAAAGCTAAGTACAGTTTTCTTGGTCTACCAGGTCTGATTGGTCCAAGCATGATTGTTAGGATTCTCATTTTCTCTACAACTTTTAATCCTTTTTTGAACTCCAATTTTAAAACCACCATTTTTGCACTTATTTTTCTTTATAAAGTTAATTACACAACAGTTCCAGATTTTGCATTCATGCTGTTATTTTATTTCAATTTCAAAATCACTTAACATTTCATGAGTAATGCCACTGACACAATCATTTTGACACATTTATCTGCCAGTATATTAGCCAATTTCTTAGAAGTATATATTCAATTTATTGTCATTAACACGATATGTAGGCACATATGTAAATAACAAGAGGGCTGTCTCGTTAAAAACGGTGCAAGCACATTTATTTATTATCTTATCGTCAAAATAAAATGGTATTTATATATTTAAACTTATGTTGACAAAAACTTAACATAGCACAATAATGTTGTTTACGGCAAAATAATACTTCAGCGTCTGTGAAGTCATTACTGTGACATGCTGTTTTTCATGCACAACATGACTAAAAATAAGGAAAGTTAAAAAAGTAATCAATCTTTTTGATTAATTTAGGAACTAAAGATTACAGAATAATCTTTCTGTGGTTTACTCTTATTTTGAGTTCTTTGTCGAGCTCATTCACCATTCTTTTATGTTAAGAAGCCTCAACAACTACATTTTCAGTGTTTTGTGTGTCCACGCTTTGCCTTTATTACAGCTTTCATTCTTTTCAAGAGACTTGCTTTCAGTGTTTTAAAGAAATTTACAGGGATGTTTTTCCACCTTCAAAGTTCAGTTTTAAAAGTTGGTTGCATTTTCTGCTTCTCATGATTCAAGTAATCCCAAACATGATGTTAAAGTCTGGACTCTGGGGTGGCCAGTCCATCATTCTGAGAACACCCTCAGCTTCTTTATTTGTTTTGCAGGTTTTATTTTTTTCATTTATTGTCATTCCAGAACTTGTACCTGAAAGGGAATGAAATGAGATACTCAGGTCCTGGTTCAGCAATAATAAAATCAAGCAAAAAACACCAAATAAATAAATAAATAAATAAATGAAATGTAGGTCAATAAATATAGTGTGGATAGGAATAAGACTATGGAAATCTAGGTAAACAACTCCATTTTAAACTTGGGTCCCACTTTATATTAAGTGTCTCTAATAACTGTGTAGTTACATATGAACAACATATACAACAACGTAACTACTAATGAATTTGTCACTGTTACAAATGGATTACAGAAGTACACTTTATATAATCATACATGCGTATCAACTTCAGTTTTGCCTCATGTAATTGCACAAGTGTATCTTAATAGTTGTAACAGCCCATTCTCTCACATGTAATTACACAAGAGAAATAACATAATAATGTAATAATATAATTACATTTGTAAGAAGACTGGAACAGCAGTTTTTTTTTCAGAACTTTTTTTCCAGCAGTAAAAGGAAGTATGTCATAAATTACATTAAGACATTACTTACACTGTATCTGACAGCTTTCCTGACATTTAGCTAGCATTTTTGTTGCTAGTGCTGAGACATTGTAACCAGTTTCAACTTTCACTGTATGTATATGTGACAGTACAGCAGATATCCACTTAAAATACACATAAAATGTAACTTTTATGACATGAATAGCTCTATATATATATATATATATATGTGTGTGTGTGTGTCTATATTATCGCTCCATTATTACATAGTACCTGTAAAACAACTAAAAAGGAACTGTCTGCTTATTTTAAAATATAACTTTAACACTACACTACTGGAAAGTTCCTGTGTAGAAGATACACTTGTGTAATTGCATGAGGCAAAACTGAAGTTGATACACGTGTAATTACATAGGCTGTAATCCATCTATAGCATCGACTAAATTATCAGTAGTTCCAGTGTTGTTGCATATGTTATTCATGTATAACTACACAGTTACTAGAGACACAATATAAAGTGGGACCTAAACATTTTTTTTTTAGTTTTTTTAATGATATAAATGGATTATTGTATCTATTCTCCTAATGAAAAACGAATAGTGGCCTTGTGCTTAATGGGGCGTCTTGACTGGAAATGAAATAAACGAAGGGTGGTCTCTGACTTGGGAGCAGTATTCTATATCCATATATATATAGTCAGTCAGTGGTCAGTTTTTAGACGTGACAAGCTTATGTTATTTAGTGTGCCATGTATGTTTAAGGTCTGGACAGCGCTGGTTCATGAATACACAGTAAAATCAGCAGGCTTCAATGAACTCCCTCAAAGTTTCCCAGTGTGAGCATTAATGGACTCTGTAGGAGTTAACAGTGCAGATTTCACCCATCATCTTCACTTTACTCCTGAGCGCTTCTACAATTCCCAGAACAGTGAGAACTCATACACGCACCAGCTGTAACTGTTCATCATGCTGCTGGACTCATAAAACGGAGTCATTCTTCAGGACTTTGAGGCTTACAACAGCACCCATATTGCAGTGTCCTTTAAAACAATGACATTAGCGGTCATATCTGGGGTCCAAACTTCAACCACTGTTGAGTAATGCTTCTGGACTGCAATTTTTTTTAAAGCTACAGGCAGAGTACTGCCATGAATTGGTTTAATATCTGCGATGACACCATTAGGTAGGTGAGGCGAGCTTTTACATTAGAGCATGTTGCTTGGAGGCCATGAGGAGAGCGTGCACTGCAGGTCATAAATTTGATTCTAATGATTTTGTCACTGCATTTAAACAATAACTATCAAGGAAGGGTTTTTTTTTCTTTTTTTATTTGACCTGTGATTTATGCATTTAATACTTTGATGGCAAAAATAGTTTAACTTGAGTCCATAATGATGTGGGGAATGAAATATTGACACAATTCATTTTCCTTTTCAGATTTAATTAGTTTATTTTATAATGCTATCCATCAACATTGTGGTAGGCTAGATTAAATGTGGAGTGCATGGCAGATGGGGACCTCGGAGAGGGGAATGTGTTTCACAGTTGATTTCCTGAGAAATAGATGTTGCCTGAATTATTCATCAAGCTTTCATGACTTTAATCATATTCTTAATTCAATTATTAAAGACATTTCTCCCATGGCTATATTTTACTCCGTGCTTTGTCTGTCCTTTGAAATTTCTGTGTCAGGCAGGTGATCAGCTGAGCGAGTCGCAGCGATGTGAATGAATCAAAGTGGCGTAAATCACTTTTTACTTGCCGTTTTCAGCGACCTTGTGCAAAGTCTTGGTTTTAGAGCATTGTACAAAACCAATTCTGTAAAAGTTGGCACAGTAGAAAAACTAA